AATTGAGCGACTGCAGTCGATTCGAGCTGAGGTCCACACGCAAAGCCAAACGATTTAGACCAGGCGCCAATTGCTGAAGCCAGCTGGCCTCCTCCAGCTGATTTCTAGCCAAATTCAATCGAGTCAAGTGCGTCAATTGGTGGAGCAGCGCAGAATGTAAATGATTCAATTGATTGCTTGACAGATCAACCTGCTTCAGCTGATTGTTGCCAAGCAGCAGATCCTCGGGCAGTGAGTTGAGGCGATTGTGGCTCAAGTCGAGCTGTAGTAGGGTGCTCAATGGGCGGAGAGTATCCGCGGCGATGTGCTCTAAATTATTGTGACTGACATTGATGCGCTGTGGGTTCAAGATAGTATAAGATTAGATAAGGTAATTTTTTATCTTTAAGGTTATGTACTTATATATAAAAACTTGCAGTTTTGTAGTTTCTTTGAATGGGGAATGTTTTATTTTGCTAAGCTAAATAATTTTGATGGGATCTCAGATAGTCCTTGATTATCTTAGTGGTTAGTTATGCAAGTTTTAATATTCTTATGTCTGAACTGGTTTTGTTTTCTCTCATCTCTCTCTCCCTGACCTCCGATTTATAATTCCTCTAGGGTTTTAGTGTTACTCTTAGATAATCTTCTGCTGTTTAGGTTTATATTTGATTAATTAAATTTTATATTTGTAGCTGCTTTGAATAGCGTTTCTGTAAACGGTCTCGTCTCCATGCTTTCCCTGAATCTTCTCCCCTCTACTCACCTCCAAGGACTCCAGTCCTGTGAAGCTATTGTTTAGCAGTTCCTTTAGCTTATTATAGCTCAAATCCAAATCTTGCAATTCAAAGTTTTTGGAGAATACCGCAGGCGGCAGCTGCTCTAGCGAATTCCTGGATAAATTGAGATGTATTAAACGTGCCAGGCCAGCGTCCTTCAGGAATTGCAAGTCCTCTAGGAGATTGTGTTCCAAGCGCAGCGAGCGCAAATGCGTATTGCTCTCAAAGGCTGCAGCTTCCACTTGCCTAAGCCGATTGTGCTGAAGGCTTAAGCTCGAGAGACGATGAAGGCCATGAAAGTAGGAGACGGCAATTAGTTGTAATTGATTGTTTTGCAACTGCAAGTGCTTCAGATGCGATAGATTGTGAAAGCAGTCCGGTTCCAGATGCTCGATACGATTATGACTCAAATCCAACAGCTGCAAATTGGGATATCGCTCGAAGGCGTTGGCAGCCAGGCGACTTAGGGCATTGAAACTGATGTCGAGTGAGGTGAGGGCGGCCAACGGTTCCTCGGACCAGGACTTTATCACGCTCAAGTTGTTCTTGGCCAACGAGAGGTGCTGCAAGCGCGTCAGGCCATGCAGTGCATAGTCCTCCAAGGAATTCAGCTGGCTGCGCTCCAATCTGAGGCTGAGCAGTTGATTGAAGCGCAAGAAAATTGCATTCTTCAGCTGCCGCTGCTCCCAGCTGCAGTTGTACAGACGTAAGCTGCTCAGCGTTGTCACATCTTTGAGGGCATGCAACTGTGTTGCATTGCAGTTGATCAACTGCAAGGATTGCGTGTGGCATGCCACACAGCTCAGCAGCAACAGCAACGGAAATAGCAACGGCAACGGCAACAGCTTGGCCAACATTCCGCTTAAGACTGAACAATACGGATGCTGTAAATGTCGCCGGCCTTACTTTATCTCAATGCAGCTGCTCAGGTTGTCTGTCAGCACGCGTCAAGATTAGATTAATCAGTGGGCCGACGGCGACCGGCGAAGCTTAGATAGATATATTTATTCATCGCATATTAATATATCACTTTTGGTTCAAATATTTGGACAGGTCAAACACAGTCGACGCGACTAGACGCTCGAATACTCTAGAGACTTGGTCTCTAGCAAATTCATACATTTGGATCATATTCCTATGCTCGGAAAATCGCAAAATTATTGGAATAGCAGTGGTATTTTATTCCATTCGGAGTTTACTTATAAAATATATGAAATTTTAAAAATTAAATAATAATATTAAATATTTTGAACTCATATTTTGTAATAATTTATTTAATTTATATTATTAATTTATAATTTATAGACCGGAAACTTTTTGTCGTCTTAAAAGATTACATATTTTATATGAAATAAAATTAATTTATTCCACTCTGAGTTTATTTAGAAAATATATTAAATAACAATTTTTTGAAATGTTTAATCAGCTTAGCTGATTTTTATGCAGATCTATAATAAACGTAAGCCTACTCGAGTGAGTCAAAATAATTACACATTTTATGGCATACAAATTATATTAATTAATAATTTCCAGTCCGGAAACTTTTTATTGTCATCAAATCATTATTTATATAAATAAAATTTATGTATTTTTTTATTTTATTTTTATTTTCTATTTCTTAAAATAGTATATTTTAAGTACTCAAAAATTTCAAACTGTCTTGGCATTCATTCATTAGAAGTTAATGAATTTTTCAAGGAACCACAATGTTGTTGCACAATTTTTTTTCTTCGTTATTATTTTTAATTACTTATACAAATGCACTGAGGCCCAACTGTTATCGTTGGATAACTGGCCAAATGTGTGGTAAGTGAACCTCAGGGAGTCCTAATAGGCTCCAATTTCAAACAGTTTGAGCTTAATCGAAAACTGTATGCGGCCTTTCAAATAAACAGCTGGGATTTTATATCAGTAATAAAAAAAGCAAAATTACTCAGTGGCTGCAATCGTAACAGCAATCGTAACAGTCACTGAGTGGGCTTATCTACACTGAAAAAAAAGCTTTAAATAATAATAGAATTATTTATAAGGATAACAATTCATATTCAATCATTATCTCAATAATTATATTTTTCCTAAAGAAACATTATTGTTGACATATGTAAAATTTCTGCTCATTTTTTTCTTCGAGTGTACATGACTTATAAAGTTACATTGGGGCTTATAATGCATAAAATGGTTTCATTCAGTCCTCAAGTGATTGTTCTGCGAATCAATTGACATTTTATGTAGAAATATGTGCACTCAACGAAAAGTGAGGAATGCTTGCCTCTGTTTAGCTTTGATTCTGCTTATATCGCGAAAAACTATCGCTACAAGTATATGTACTACATGGCAATATGGTTCGGCGGTAGGTGAAAGTATAAATTATGATTAGAATTGTTAAAAAAATATATATATTTATATCAATTTAGGAAGACAACTATTTGCCCGTATTGATTGAAAGTCGCTGCCCCGATAATATACCTGAGATTTTGAATAGATGTCGCGTCAAATGCAATATGGAATGCCCACCTCATAGAAATTGCACAATTCCCAAGATATGCGGCTACGACGAAGCTCTTAAGGCAATAGAACCACAAATAGATCACGACGATGACTCCCATGAATTGTTAATAGTTTTATTTGGTGTTGCCGGCTTAGCTTTGTTCGTTCTAACTATTACTGTAATCATATATTTAATCATGTCGAAACTCACCTCAAGTCATATATTTTAATTTTTGTTTGTAAATTGAATTCTCAGACCATAAAATTAGAGTTTCCATAAAGAATATACTTTCTTGATGAGAATGACGAGCTGTCCTTCTGACTGTCTCTATATTTAGTTTTATAAAATTTTTAAAAATATAGTGTTGCTAATGTCTCACTGGAGATAATATCTGCAAATTACTTGATTAAAATTATATGCATTCTGTTTAATTTCTCTGGTGCTTAGCTCGTTCAGCTATTTATTTGCTGTTTGGATTTACCTGCATTTGAGGCTTTCAGCTTAACGTGTTTGCCAAATGCGGCTTCTGTTTGAAAAGCCGCAGGTTCAAATGCACTTAGCCAACACTGGCTGGCAGCCGACTAGAGGGTAAGCAGACAGATTGAAGCGATTATGACTATACAAATTTGCTTGTTGCCGCAATTGTAATGTTTATTAATTTGGATTTTGAGCCAGTGCCAAGTTTTGGCCAGAACAAAGAGAGCGAGAGAGAGAGAGAAAGAGAGAAAGAGAGAAAGAGAGAGAGAGAGAGAGTGGGGGAATGGTTGGCAAAAAGTACGCCACAAACTAATTGAAATTGATATAAATGGGCCAGGCAAAAACAAGAGCACTCTGCAGCAAAGCCTCTGATATACATACATACATATATGCAACATGAAGTGTGCCCTGTGGCTGTAAACCATAAGCTGGCAAACACATATCGTACATGCATGCCAGACCCGCATGCATACATACATACATATACATACATGCTGACAGGTTACATATACATATATGAATTTTAAGTGACGTATAGGTAATTGCTTAAGCACAAAACTGCCATCAATAATTCTTTGAGAGTAAACTCGACTAAATTAGTTGCAGATTAAAGTGCTTGACAGTTAATTCAAATGTAGTTGAGTGGCCTAAAATAGTAAATGTAAATTTAATATGGATCCATTGATACATTCAAATAAACAGGTTATAATAATAATGAAAATCATAATTATGACACATTTTAATTCATATATTTTCATTATTATTTAATTGTACATCATTAATTAATAATTAAATTATTTAGCAGTATTTGTAATAAAATATTTGTGTCAAAATGTATTATTATTTAATTACATGATTTTGGCACATCCTATATATTCATAATTTAGAAACATCCTATATACATTCATATATCCATAATACAGTCGGGTTCCGATAATTCGAAATGGCAAAGGAATCGGTTTCGTTTTTTCGATTATCGAAAAAGAATTTTGTTAAGAGGGCAGAATTTTATGAGATTTAGCGCGATTTTAGATTTAGCCGGGTACAAATTATCGAGATTCGACTGTAGCTATATTTTTTGTCATAATTTAATTCTTGCTTTTATAAATATATTCATATTTATTATTTTATATATTTATTATTATAAAGTTATTACTCATGTTTATAATATTTTAAGTGCCTAACAATTTCCGCCATTTTGAACAGATATCTTAAGCAAATCCCAATTTTTATCTTAAAGAACAAATTTGTTTATTGATCGAATTGCAGTTATGTGATAAACTGTAAGAATTTGTGTTTGTTTCGACGATGGCGATAATCTATCAAATGGTTACTAAGTAGATGCTCGACAATCGTAAAAATTTTCCTGTTCCATAGAGCCCCTTGTATTTAGTTTTTGACTCGAGGCATCGTTGGCCTCCAGCCAGAGCCTTAGATCATCGGGCATTTCCGGCCGATTTGCAATGTCGGGGTAAGAGCTCAGCAAATCGATAACATTGAAATCGATGAACTGATGCTTGGAGATGGCCACGGCGTGTACGAATCCAGTGCAGGCGGAGATAAATTGTTGCTCAAAGTACATGGATTTGTCGTCCCACCAGATCAGTTTCGTCTCGATCTTGTACGGATGAAAGATTGGTATATAGCGTCGATATCTCAGCATCACGGCGCCTTGCACTATTGAGCCGCCCCTCTCACGCACAAAATGGAACAGATCGGTTACCACATAATAATGAATACTCGCAAAGTTCAGCTCGCGCAGATATCGTGCGTTGTTCATGTGCCGCAGAAAGATGTCCGCATCTTGTGGCGTGCATATGCCAAAGATGCTGGTCGTCTCCGTGATTGCGTGCTTGTCTTGGTTCAGGTGCACCATCAGCAGCGTGAATGCACAGCGAATAAAATAGTTGACATCCAGAATGATGTAGAGGAGGAGCAGCACTAGTATTGGCGTCATATTGCCGATCTTCTCTGGCCTATTTTATGGCAATCTGCTAAGCTCGGTGGAACTCTGTCTCGAGTGGCTAAATCGTCATATTTTAAACGTACATTTGGAAAAGAAATTTTGCTTTTTTTTTTGTTTTTTTTTTTTTTTTTTAATAATACAAATACAACATTTTGTCGTTGACTTGGTTGAACTAGGTTTGCTTTGTTGACTAAGTATTACAAATAATGTTGCTATTATCAATATGTACGTATATACTAAGTGGATATAGAAATAATTTTGAAAATAAATTTAATTTATTAAATCTTATGAATGTCTTGCTTTTAATAAAGTCAAAAGATAAGAAAATAACAAACCGTTTTATTTTTAATTTAAATTTTTATTTTTTATAATTAATTAAATTTAGAGATAATGGTTAATCCAAAATAAAATAAAATTAAATGCGAATTTGTTAAAAATAATATTTATAGAATAAGTTGTATTCGATTAAAATTTCTACATTAAATTATTATAAATTAATTTTTAAAGATATTTGGATACTACATTTTATTTGATTATATGTGTATATACAACAAAAATTTTAATTATTTAATACAGAGTATCTACCAATAGCACAAACCCCACCTGAGGGTAGATGTTCAATAATATATTTTTGAGAAAGTAAATTATTTAGATTAAAAATAGTTATTATTATTACTATGCATATTGAATAATGCATTTCTAATAATATAATAAATAGATAATTATATAAAAATAATAATGATAATAATAGATAAGTGGATGATAATAATTATAATTTTAATATATTATTAACACTAAGATGTAATTTGATTGTATTTTACTATTAATTTAAAATTATAAATACCGAGTATCTACAAATATTACAGACCCTAGTATACATATGTATTGAATAATGTATTAAATATTTTACGCATTCACATCCGCAATTCGATCTATCAACTTGAAAGCATTTTCATTGCGCAATTATTAAAAAATTGACTATGTATATGTGCAGTGAAGTCAACAACTGCACACGCACACATACATACATATACGCGCACACATATTTGCTCTCCCTGTCAGGCTCATATTGAACACGAATTACGCATACGCATCGTTGGTCGACTCGTATCGTCAAAAGTGGTTATATGTGACATAGTTGTTGTTGTTGTTGTTGTTTTAGTTTTTGCTGCTGGTGCTGCTGCTTTTCCTGCTGTTGACTGTTGCTTAATAATATTTTGCTGCAGCCGTTGCTGCCCGCAATATATATTTTTGGTCTGTTGCGCTGTTTTTGATGCGCCGCGGCGAAAGATAATTCAATTTTCATGGCCAGCGAATGCGAAATGGATTTTTAAATTGCACTGCAATTGGACAGGCAACAGGATGCAGCCAACAACAACAGCGACAGCAGCAGCAACCACAACAACAACGATGAGCTGACCACGCCCACAGTTTGACTTCGAAATGACAAATTTAATATGCAGCCCTTGATGTCGGCGTTTTGTTTGTTTGTTCGCTCGCCTCAACTGCAGTTGGTAGTGGATAAAAAATAAAATAAATAAAAGAAGAGAAGAACTTGGCCAAATGCCAGACTCAACGTCAGGCAGCAAACAACCAGACAACTTCAAGGCGGGTCTGAGGGGGGAAGCTCAACTCCTTTTTTATATGCACACTTTATATGGCAATGCAGAGTTGAGTCTGTCAATGTGCGAGAGAGAGAGAGAGAGACCGAGTGAGAAAGAGACAGATGAGGTTATGCAGCTCGTATTAAAATATTTTTGTGCATATTTCAGCTGCCAAAATTATTACAATTTAGTTCCGCAAAATAAATTTGCCTTTGCCTGCTTATTTTCTTCCTCCATATAACATATATATATATTTATATATGTGTATATATAAATATATTTTTTTCTCACATTTCTCACTTGTGGACCAATTTATCTACAGCCTTAAAATGAACATTGAGTGCCAAAAAAAAAAAAAAAAAAAAAAAAAAAAATAAATAAATATCTACACGTTTTGTGTTATTTAGTTAGAAGTTATTTAAAGTAAACATTTTTGCAGCACATAGAAAAAGACGAAAAGAGATAGTGGAAAATTTAAAGTGGCAGAGAGACATAAAGACTATAGAGAGAACAGCTCCTAAATAACTATTTATCGATGTCTGCGATTCTAATTCTCTTTTACTGATACTATGAGAAAAACTCAGAGAGCATTAAGAAAAAACTCTATTGTGTATGTATTGCTATTAATAGCGTACATGAATTAAGATCGAATCATATCGCTCCCTAAATGATGTTCGAGGTTCGCACGAATATGTAAGCTCGAGATATTCAACAGAAAACAAAAATCAAAAGAACCGAAGGCGAGAGTTCAGAACGAAACTGATTGAGGGACAAGCGGAATCTCGATAGAGCTAAACCAGCATGATAGGCGGAGATAGATTGAGAAAGAAAATGAGAGCAAGAAGTAAAATAAATGCTTCGATCTTACTGTAAAACTCTGGAAATTCTGAAGTAATAGAGAAATTTCGATTTAATGTTCGAGACACAAAAACATTTACTCAACATAATTACTAAAATCTTGTACAATTTAGTTATCTTTTCATTCTTTAACACTTTATATTTCCATTAATTTCCCCGGCTTATAATAAATTGCTGGCTTTTGAGTTAACAACAATTGGTCTATTTGCACTTTCAATGAATTATTTAGCACGTGAATTCTGTTCTTCTTTTGCTGTGATCCTGTTTGGGATTGCACTATGTAACGTCTTGCTTTTACCCCTAATTGCAATGCTGGCAAATGTGCCCTCGGCTAAGCCAGCACGAAATATATACGTATATAGAAACTCTTTTCTCCTGCTGGATCTTGTGCTGTGCTTTGGCTTTTCAATTTTAATAGAATTTTGCCTTATTTACTGCAACAATGGCTAAAAAAAAAAAAAATAAAGACTGGCAGCAACAGTGGCTGAGCGTAACATACAACTTTAATTGTATTTTGGCCACAGCTTGTAGTAAATGGGGTAGATTCGCTTATAGAGTGGGTTTGAATGTGGAAAATTTTAGATTAATTTTGAAAAAGAATGACTTTTTTTCTTTAATAAACATATATTTCTTAAATAAATTGGTTTAAAAAATGTAAATATACATTTTTTTTTTTTTTTGTAAATATAAATTGATTTTGATTCCACTAAATTAGTTTTTCCTTTAAAAAAAAGTTTGTATGGTCAAGTATTTTTCTGTGAACATTATATGTTGTTGAATAGCTCTTTATGAGCTAATCTTAGCTTTTCGCCAAGTAAATTATAGGGTATTTCCTATTCGAGTCTAATGTCTAATGAGTCTAATGAAATGTTCCTTTTAAGATTTCCTACTATTTATGTTTCTTAGATTTTTACTTTTCGGCTATTCCTCTTATTATATTTGTCATTAAATTATTCATATATTTTTGGGTTGCTTAAAAATGCAATTTGGATAAAATAATTAAAGTTTCCAACCAGCCTTACAGGGTATCTGTTAGTCAAATGTCTTACCGAAAAGCCGTTATTTCAAGTTTTATTTTCTGTTTTAGGGCTTTCAATGCATCTTTGACGTCTTGCAGCAACAAAAAAATGTGTAAAGTTTTCATTACAGGAAACACTGGACTGCGTTTAGTTTGTGCTTCCTTTTGCCAGCCAGCCTCACATGTGTGTGAGTGTGTGCTACACACACATGTACTGTGACTGCATGTGTGTGTGCGTTTGTGCTTATTTATTTGGTGTGCAGCAAAAATTCGGCATTGTGAACAATGAAAGAGAAATGTGAATGTAAAACGAAACATGGACGTGACTTTGGGCAAGAGTTTAGGGGAGACGGAACGTGGCTGGCAGCATGGCTAAACCGGATGGACGACTGACTTTACCGTTATGCCACATAGAGCCAAACTGTTGACCGACTGACGCTTTTCCGTCTGCCGCTCGCTATATACTATACACTAGCCGCTCGCCGGGGTATGTCTGGCGAATGTGTGAGGGAGATGGAGTTGGGCAAAAATCTATTGGGGATATTTTGAATGGAAAGTTAGGCCTGTTTATGCAACTATTGTTCCGGTATTTATAAATATTGTATATATAGTTTCTGTTATATCATATATGTATATATCATCACAAAATTTGTTAATACTCTCCCAAATAAACATATGTACATATTGAAATGTTAAGAG